ATGCAAATTAGCAATGCGGTCTTAAGTTTTGGTTCTGTAAAATGTAAACAAATGTGATCAAAGCTGAAATATATGATCAAATGGGCTGATGAGGTTATTGTTTATATGTTGTAAAGTTGAGTTTATTTATGCAGAGTTTGGAAACGTTGGGTTTGATCTGCAGTGGATTGTGGGAAACCTCACAGCTCCTTACTGCTGGATAATAACATGGATCTATTAAAATAAGGAACATCCTGAGCTTCTTCTGCTAAAGGAGCTCATGGATTCTGATTTCTGGTTTGGATAACAGAGTTAATGCAAAGATGAGCTTGTGTTGAGTTGTTTTATTTATGAATGAAAAGAAGGAAATATGTATTATTTCTTTTATTTTACAGTTAAATTATTATTTATGTAATTAGGGTTTTTTGTAATCTTAAATGTTCCTTTTTGAACTGCTGACCTTTAGGGAGTTTTAGGGAGTTATTTTTTCTTGTACATATATCGAGATATATATCGTATATTGAGATATAGCAAAATATATCGAGATATATTTTTTGATCCATATTGCCCAGCCCTAGTTGTTTGTATATTTCCTGGTTTATTCATTTAAATTAAAGTTAATTTTTGTGCTTGTGCATTTGTAAGATTGTGTCAAAAAACCGGGATACTCCATTTGATCATGTACACAGGGATAAGAGTGTCCCGGTTTCTCAGTGCGCATGTATACACCGTATCCCGAATACTGCAATAACCGGGATATGACTAATAACCGGGATACTGATGTGCATGTATATGCACTCACTGTTGCAATGGAACGCATTTACAACGGATGTCGGATGTTTTCTTTGCCTGTGCCATGTCTTGTGCTGCTGGTCTTGCACCTGCTTTGTCTGCCTCTAATCATCTCCAGTCTCTACTATTGGCTTGGTGTGTTTTACTTAAAGGCCACGCCCATGCCCGTTTTTTTTTTTTTTAACTAAGCCCTGATGAAGACCAGGTAGGTTGAAACATGTTGGCTTTGACCATCTAAATAAAAGCCTTTTAACTATATTTTCTCCTTGTGCGTTTTTTTACAGATTTGGAATGCCTGGATTCTGTTGTGTTTAAAATATAATTTCATTAACTGACATTCAAAGTAAAAATAATTCAAATGTTCAAATGTTTTATCAGAGTTAAAAAATTCAAAGTGTCATTTAAAATTCAATATCTGTTGAAACAAATTATCTTCTCAATACCAATTACAATCCCACAATGAAGATAAAAATGCATTCAATTGTAATAATTGTACTTTACCTTTACTGTTACCACGAGGTCTCATACTTGCTCTGACAAAGATCAAATGCAAACTAAACTTGACCAGGAGAGCTCCAATTTGTCCTGATAATGTCTCTTTTTTAGTATTAATTTTTGCTCTATCGATTACCATCAATACTTTTTCTTCACTTTTACTCTTGACAGCCCTGGCGAGAACTATAATAAGCATCACCAGTCATACCCGGGCCTTCAGTTTCACTAAAGTCTGAGTTGAAAGTGCGCTGGATTATGAGAGATCTGGAGACGGGCTCACGACACCGCAGATCAGGCTTTCACTTTTTGAATTCCAAAACATCAAAGCTCAGATATGAGTCAGATGCTGTGAGCCGCAGAGGGGTCCGTGCGGGCTCGGAACACTACGCAGGCTCCAAATAAAGGTGCAGGTCTCAAACGGACGGTAATAAAGCAGCACTCCCCCAGCCTGACGGAGGGAGGGAGTGAGGAGGTAAAGGCAGAGAGGCTATAGGTGCACATGGACATTTAGGATTTGAATCTATCTACAAGTACATGTTTTTCTTTTGTATTATCTTGTCTTTTAATATGCATTGTCCCTTTAATACATTTTTCAATCTATGCTATAATGTTTAACACACAAACTCGACATATTTAGGTTGAGTTCTTCTCTCAAACAGAAAACATTGTTCCACCTGTGATGTTACTGTATGCAGTGATACAAGAAGTGTGTATTTGTATACTCCATACACCTTCACTAGAATTATTTGGATAACGGTGCGTTCGATTATCTATAGTGTCCCACTCGGATCTCGAATATGACGTCATGTTCACATTTCAACCATTTTATTATGTTCCGTGTGTCCGAGAAAAACACTGACGGTGACCGAAAAGCTGTTATTGTTGTTGTTTATTTTCTGTTAACGACTCTTGGGATGTTTACACCATTTAAAAGAAGTTTGTGATCAATAATTGGCCTCACCGCAACATCGACCACCGCAACACCGACCATCACAACATCGACTACTATAACACCGATGACCATAAGACAACACCGACCGCCGCAACACCGAACACCACAACATCGACTACTATAACACCGATGACCATAAGACAACACCGACCGCCGCAACACCGAACACCACAACATCGACTACTATAACACCGATGACCATAAGACAACACCGACCGCCGCAACACCGACCATCACAACATCGACTACTATAACACCGATGACCATAAGACAACACCGACCGCCGCAACACCGAACACCGCAACATCGACTACTATAACATCGATGACCATAAGACAACACCGACCGCCGCAACACTGACCATCACAACATCGACTACTATAACACCGATGACCATAAGACAACACCGACCATCACAACATCGACTACTATAACACCGATGACCATAAGACAACACCGACCGCCACACCGACCACCACAACATCGACTACTATAACACCGATGACCATAAGACAACACCGACCATCACAACATCGACTACTATAACACCGATGACCATAAGACAACACCGACCGCCGCAACACCGAACACCACAACATCGACTACTATAACACCGATGACCATAAGACAACACCGACCGCCGCAACACCGAACACCACAACATCGACTACTATAACACCGATGACCATAAGACAACACCGACCATCACAACATCGACTACTATAACCCGATGACCATAAGACAACACCGACCGCCGCAACACCGAACACCACACACTGACCACCACAACACTGACCACCGCAACACTGACCACCGCAACACTGACTACTATAACCCCGATGACCATAAGACAACATCAACTGCCACAACACTGACCATCGCGACACCGACCAACACAACATCGACTACTATAACACCGATGACAATAAGACAACACCGACTGCCGCAACACCGACCAGTTCAACACTGGTCAGCTCAACACCGACCATCGCGACACCGACCATCACAACATCGATCACCAGAACACCAACCACCAGAACACTGACTACTATAACACCGATGATCATAAGAAAACACCGACCACCATAACCATAACCAATACAGACGCAGTAAGGTATTGCAGTAATACAGACGCAGTAAGGTATTGCAGTAATACAGACGCAGTAAGGTATTGCAGTACAGACGCAGTAAGGTATTGCAGTAACACAGACGCAGTAATGCAGACACAGTAAGGTATTGCAGTAACACAGACGCAGTAAGGTATTGCAGTAACACAGACGCAGTAATACAGACGCAGTAAGGTATTGCAGTAATACAGACGCAGTAAGGCATTGCAGTAATACAGACGCAGTAAGGTATTGCAGTAACACAGACGCAGTAATACAGACGCAGTAAGGTATTGCAGTAATACAGGCGCAGTAAGGTATTGCAGTAACACAGACGCAGTAAGGTATTGCAGTAACACAGCAGTAAGGTATTGCAGTAATACAGGCGCAGTAAGGTATTGCAGTAACACAGGCGCAGTAAGGTATTGCAGTAACACAGACGCAGTAAGGTATTGCAGTAATACAGGCGCAGTAAGGTATTGCAGTAACACAGACGCAGTAAGGTATTGCAGTAATACAGACGCAGTAAGGTATTGCAGTAACACAGGCGCAGTAAGGTATTGCAGTAATACAGGACGCAGTAAGGTATTGCAGTAACACAGACGCAGTAAGCAGCACAGTAAGGTATTGCAGTAACACAGTAAGCGCAGTAAGGTATTGCAGTAATACAGACGCAGTAAGGTATTGCAGTAACACAGGCGCAGTAAGGTATTGCAGTAATACAGACGCAGTAAGGTATTGCAGTAACACAGACGCAGTAAGGTATTGCAGTAATACAGACGCAGTAAGGTATTGCAGTAACACAGACGCAGTAAGGTATTGCAGTAATACAGACGCAGTAAGGTATTGCAGTAACACAGGCGCAGTAAGGTATTGCAGTAATACAGACGCAGTAAGGTATTGCAGTAACACAGTAAGCAGTACAGACGCAGTATTGCAGTAACACAGACGCAGTAAGGTATTGCAGTAATACGAGTGACTGAAATTGCCATTTAAACCAAAGCTCCAAACACAATGAAAGCAGTTCATACTTAAAAGTGACACTGAGCTCAGCCATATTGGGTTCTATCTCAGAATCCTTGCTCAGTCTCCTCTGAGTTCTTCTGAGTTTCAAGTTCTGCCATCCGAGGAAAAGGGGCGTGTCACTGCATGTCGTGAGACAACGTCCTCAGACCTCTGGTTCTGATGCACCATCATTTCAGTCCTACAATTGGCAGTCTCTGCTTAACTAAAGGTAAAAGGAGCTGTTCACTTAGAAAACTACCTCTTCATGACATCACATTTTTGCATTTTTGAGCTTTGGAGATATAAACAGACAAAAAAAAGTCCAGGTCTGTTTTTGAGGAGGGAACAACATTATCCCTTTAAAAACACAATTAATTTCCCGGTGCTAGATAGTACGCCACTGATTCTTACTCTGGGTTTTATAAGTAGTATTATAGATCAATAATAAATAAATAATAGACAGATAGACAGATAGATAGATAGATAGATAGATAGATAGATAGAGATAGATAAACAGATTCTTACTCTGGGTTTTATAAGCAGTATTATAGATCAATAACAGACAGATAGACAGATAAATAGATAAACAGATTCTTACTCTGGGTTTGATAAGTTGTATTATAGATCAATAACAGACAGATAGACAGATAAATAGATAAACAGATTCTTACTCTGGGTTGCCGCTGCCTTCACACTTCAGTTGGAATCTCTCTCCCTCTTTGGGCAGGTCGCTCTGTGGAAGGATCTTTACATCCGGAGAGTCTGAAAAACACAAATATTAAAGAATGAGACGTTTTATTTGACACGACATAACACAGGGCCCATCCTTATGACACATTCAATGAGGCGAGATCTGTTAGTGCCACCTGCCTCCTCTAGGGGTCACTGTACATCCACCTCCACCACATCAGGCAGAGCAGATCTCCTGTCATAACAAGCTGGTTTAGTCCTGGTTTGATCCCAGTCTAGTCCTGAGGTAGACCTGGTTTGATACTGATCTAGTCCTATTTTGATGGATTACAGGGTCCATATTAAACTGTTTTCTATTTGAATCATGTCTGTTAAAAGGGCACTACATAACCTTTCTGACAGAGTCTCAGCCATCAGCTTGTCTCGTGTAGCTATTTTTTCTTTGCCTGCAATGATCCACAGTATGGCATTAAACTGATCTATTTCCATATAGATGCCACTAGGTCAAATTACAAAGTCAGATCTGTGGAGAAGAGGCCCCGCTCACAGTAAGAACACATGTTACTCAAGGTATTTTTGATCTCTAAAAACACCTGTAATGTAATAAATGCAAGATAGATGGGTTTAATGCCAGACTGTGGAACATTCCAGGCAAAGTATCTCCACAGGGATAAAATAAAATAAAACGGTGGTTACATAGAACACATTTTTTATGTCAATTGAAGTAGAATCACTTTTTTTTTTTTTTTTTAAGAATCACTTTTTTATTTAACTTTTTTTATTTTTATTTAATTTTAAATTATTATATTTTTGTATATTTTTACATAATTATTTTTTTATTTAAATTTTTTTTATTAATTTAATTTATTTTTAGAATCACTTTTTTATTTAACTTTTTATTTTTGTTTCATTTTTTAATTAATATATTTTTTTTAATATTTTGTAATAATTTATTTTTTTATTTTTTTCATTTTTTTTTTTTTTGGAATCACTTTTTTATGGCACTTTTCAGTTCAATTTTATTATCTCTTTTCCCAATTGTGATGTCATGAAGTAGTAGTTTTTTTTTTTTTGTTTTTTTTTAGCTTTTACTTTTAGTTCAGTAGAGTTTGGAATTTCCAGGTCTGAAATCATCCACATGATTCTAGCGAAGGTGTACGGAGTTTAAAATCACACTGGAGCACTTCCTGTATTACCACATGACATCACAAGGTGGACCAGAGTGTTTTCTGTTTGAGAGAAGAACTCAAGTCTAAATCTGATGAGTTTGTGTGTTAAACATGTGTGAATGAAACAAAACACAAGTCCATTATCAGAAAATAGTGTAATATGGACCCTTTAAAAAGACCCGAGCTGATTACTGATGATTAGAAATGACTGATTCTTGATTAAAATGTGACTAGTTGCCTTAATCTTGGTCATAATTGCACCTTTATTTACTGTTTAAACATGTCTGCATCTCACTGTGCTGTTTCTCTCTCCAAATAAAGAAAAGTAACACAGACTAGAGAGTGTTTCCATCTCTGGTTTAATCTGTGTGTGACATAAGAGCCTTACACAATGCTCGTGCAGTACCTTTGAGCGCCACACGGGGGCAGCACTTTCTCAGACTGTCACTTTTGGGAAATCACTTCTCCACATCAGAAACAAAGATGTAACAGGGTCAGATAAGTTCACTGTGTGTTTGCAGATCTCCGTCTATCGTCATAATCACGGTTTAAGTCAAATCCCGGGGTATACAGCAAGTTTGGCTGTTTTAATAAAGTAAGTGATTCCCAGCAGCTTGTCTTTAAAGGCTCTGTACCAGATCTTTACCGTAAAAAAAACAACAAAAAAAAAAAAAAAAACAAAACAGAGGTAGTTCATTATAAAGGTGCAGTATGTGTGTGAGTGGGACTAAAAATGATTATTTAAAAATCGAAAAAATAAATAAATAATAATAAAATGGAAACACCTTTAAAATTATGCTTCGAGTTTGTAATAAATAGATAAAAAAAGCTGAAAGGAAATGATGATGGTGAAAAAAATAATATTAGTTTAAGTATAGGGACTAAAAATGTTTATTTAAAAATGATAGCTGAAAAAAATAAAAAATTTAATTTAATTAAAAAAAAAAAAAAAAGGTGCACTGTGTAACATTTTGTTTGTGGATCAGTCACCTGCTTGTTTCTATGGAGATGTCATTGCTCTGCCTGGAATGTCCCACAGTGTGACATTAAACAGCTCTACTTTACATTTATTCAATTACAGCTGGTTTTATTATAGCAAATATTTAAAAAAATACCTAGAAAAATAGCATTCTGACTGCGAGCGGCGTCGCCTCTCCACAGATCTGACCTGTAACTTGGTCTGGTTTGGTCTCCATGAAGTGCTGGTTTAGTTCTGGGTCACTCCTGGTTTGGTTCTAGACTGGTTTGATCCTAGTGCAGTCATGGTTTGGTACGGGGTTTGTCCTTTAGTCCTGGGTTAGTCCTGGTTTAGTCCTGGTTTAGTCCTGGTTTAGTCCTGGTTCAGTCCTGGTTTAGTCCTGGTTTAGTCCTGGTTTAGATCTGTTTTGGTCCTGGTTCAGTCCTTTTCATCATGGATATGTCATTGCTCTGTCTGGAATGTTCCACAGTATGACATTAAACAGCTCTACTTTACATTTATTCAGTTACAGCTGGTTTTACAGCTCAAAAACACCTCAAAAAACAGGCATTCTGACAGTGAGCGGGGTCGCCTCTCCACAGATCTGACCTGTAACTTGGTCTGGTTTAATCTCCGTGAAGATAGAAATGTTTAATACCATACTGCGAAACATTCCAGATACTAATACCATCTCCAGCTTTTCACAACTTTCAGAAACCAGAGCGGAGATTTATCATCGAGTCAACAAAAACTAGCATGCTAAAATGCACTTCCTGATGATCAGATTATAAAACGTTTCACAGTTAGATGCAGAGAGTTGACAGTGGACTTATTTTGACCTCGGCAGCTGCTCATTCAATAGAGCTGTACTGGAACAAGACACACATTTAGCGAAAATAAATAAATAAATAAATAAATAAATCGGGCACATGACCTTAATCGGCTACAAGCAGTAATTGGTTGTCAGATAATCTTCAGGGAAATTTTAACATGCATTTTCATTAATTAAAAGAAAAGAAATGTGATAAATTTATAAGAGCGTTTCATTACTTTCACAGAACAGATGCAGACAGCTCACAGTGGACTTATTGTAATTCTGTCGCTTAAATTTGTAAAGCGTAATATGGATGACATCTCCAGCTGAATCTTAATTTAGGTAACACATTCGTTCTTCGTTAGTTCTTTATTAAGTCTGGCTTCAGCTTCTTTAAAGGTCTTGCATTTCACCGAGTTGCCTCCTGTGAGCTTTAAGTCGTGTTATAATTCTGTTATCTCCTCCAGCTGTCTTTTGTTTCATGAGTTTGTTGATTAACCCTTTAGTTTATTCCTTTTTATCAGTCTGTCTTCATGTCCAAATGCCGTGTTCCACCTTGTGATGTCATGTAGTGGTAGTTTTAAAGTGAACAGCTCCTTTTACATTTAGTTGAGTAGATTGGCAACTCCAGGGCTGAAATGATCGACATGATTTCAGTGAAGGTGTGTTGAGTTTAAAAACACAGTGGAGGACTTCCTGTATTACCACATGACATCACAAGGTGGAACAGAGTGTTTTGTGTTTCAGAAAAGCACTGCCTAAATCTGCAGGGTTTGTGTGTTAAACATGTGTGAATGAAACAAAACACAACTCTGTTTGTGACGAGGAAACCAGTGGGATGCGTCTATTGTCAAAGTCGATCTTTTCAAGTCTTTTGAACCATATCACTTTTGTTTCTGGTTCTGATATTGTCATATTTTAACTATGGGATTCGGACATCGTTAATTGTGTGGTTGTTGGATGTCTTAACAGTGGAAAACGGCTCGAGAAATGGGCTTTGGAAAGTTTGCGAACTCCATAATTGCAAAAGGGAATCAGATGTGTGTGACTGCAAACCTCTGTTCAAACTGTTTCTCTTCCCAACGGAACTGAAAAATAGTGAAAGGTGAAGGCGATGGGCAGGATTGATCCACAGGAAGAACGAAAAAGGAAACCTTTGACTGCCTAAATCATCCCGAGTTTGCAGTAAACATTTTGAATGTGGAGCAACAACAAAGCAGGATCCTGTTTGTTAATCGAGAGGTGCAGAAGACAAACAGACTGAGCTGCACTTTCTTGTTCTTGTGGTTTTACAGCAACATCACGTCTTGGTCTCTTTGCAGTGGAAGGTGTTTCTTGGCAAACAGTTGGTGCCTTTTACTTTGGCATTGACTTTTTAAAATTTGTTACCAATGTTAAGCGCTCCACGTACCAAATGTTGGCTGCAAACTCGGGATGATTTAGGCAGTCAAAGGTTTCTTTTTTGGTCCTTCTTGTGGATCAAATCCTGCCCATCGCCTTCACCTTTCACTATTTTTCTGTTCTGTTGGGAAGGGAAACAGTTTGAATGGAGGTTTGCAGTCACACAGATCTGATTCCCTTTTGCATTTATGGAGTTTGCAAACTTTTTGAAGCCCATTTCTTGAGCCGTTTTCAGCTGTTAGGATCCAACAACCACACAATTACGATGTCCGAATCCCAAAACTAAAATGTGACAATATCAGAACCAGAAACAAAAGTGATATGGTGGTTTGATGCTCACTTTTTTGGCAAATCCTTCCCAGTATGAATTGTGCAATGACCGGAAGTCCGAGATTCGTGATGCATGTATAGTGTAACATGAGCCTTTAAAAATGTGTGCCACAGACTCACAGAGCACGTGCAGGGCCTGCTCGCTGCGCTTGTCTCCGGGGGCGAGGGACGGGTGCACCACTGCACACGTCACTAAAGCGTTGTCATCACTCCTCGACACCGTCAGGGTGACCTCACTGCGCACGCTGTAGGTGGGCTCCCCAGAGGTCGACTCCACCACGTCCGGACGAGCTGAGGAGAGAGAGACAGAGAGAAGGTCAGGAGGGAGGGCATCTGGGATAAAGTCAAGAGACTGACCCAATAAAGACAAGAGTGACACACATGCCAAGAGACCAGAGACAGACCTAAACACACAAATGACCGATAGAGAAATATTTTCTTACACTTACTATGAGAACAAAGATCAACATTTCATTTGATAATTCACCGTTATTGTCCCCAAAACCAAACACATGTGACATCTTTAAAGTCCTTTCATTCAAATTGTCTAACACAGCAAAAAGTGGAGTGTTAAAACTGACTCACAGAATCAACTTTAACATTTTCTCAGAGTATATATGAGTCCAATCTGTTCTAGAGTTAATTTAACATTTTTAGAGATGTTAATTAAGTAACACTGGACCAAAGTTCCTGTTTAACCCTGAAATCCAGAGTTATATTAACATTTTGCGAAGTAAACAGATAACACTTTGTAGAGTTATTCTGATTTAGCTAAACAACACACAGAGGTGTTTTATTTTATTTTTTACTTTATTTTTAGTTCATTTAAGATTAAATTATGTACAAAACTGGTTCAAACTGGTCTTGTCTCACGAGAGTTCGAAGTGGTGAATGGGAGGAGCCAAATTAACACTAAGAGAAGTTGAATTAACACTAGAGGAAGTTGAATTAACACTAGAGGAAGTTGAATTAACACTAGAGGAAGTTGAATTAACACTAGAGGAAGTTGAATTAACTCTAGAGGAAGTTGAATTAACTCTAGAGGAAGTTGAATTAACACTAGAGGAAGTTGAATTAACACTAGAGGAAGTTGAATTAACTCTAGAGGAAGGAAGTTGAATTAACACTAGAGGAAGTTGAATTAACACTAGAGGAAGTTGAATTAACACTAGAGGAAGTTGAGAATTAACACTAGAGGAAGTTGAATTAACACTAGAGGAAGTTGAATTAACACTAGAGGAAGTTGAATTAACTCTAGAGGAAGTTGAATTAACACTAGAGGAAGTTGAATTAACACTAAGAGTTGAAGTTGAATTAACACGAGAGGAAGTTGAATTAACACGAGAGGAAGTTGAATTAACTCTTGAGGTAGTTGAATTAACCTCAACCACATCAACTCTGACAAATAACCCCAACTCAAACCCCCATTTAACTTTCAAATAGTTAAAATAACACTTTGGGTGTTAAAAACAACTCTGAAATGTTTTACCCAAAAATTTTGACCCTCCAGTTTTTGCTGTGAATGCAGTGGTTCCCAAACTGGGGGTCGCGAGGCTCTGAGCTGTGGGAGTGGAGAGATAACGGGAGATATAGATAAAACGTTTGTCTATTTCTAAAGTTTACACACATATTTACAGCTGCTTTTGTACTTTGGTTTCCGTGTTAATTTAATCAACTGAAATATTTCGTCATTGTTTTTGTCATCATGATTTTTTTATCTGTTTTCTCGACTAAAACGAAATAAAAAGACAGAGCTGAGTTCACATCGCAGCAGCTAAATCGGGCCAAACGCCTCTGGTCACATTTGAGGGCAGATGCTTGAAAAGAAACGTATCAGCCTACACGTGCGCCCCCTCATGGACTTAACGTGTAAATGCAACGCAGCAGAAGAATACAGATAAAAGGAATACTAAAAACTAAACAGAACTGAAGGAATGAAAGGAACGATTAGAGAAGATCCAAATTCCACTTTTTGATCCAGATAATAAAGAAAACTCACTGTTCAGCGACACACATTCCCCATCGATAGACAGGTAGAAGAAGCCAAGAGGAAATAAAGACTAAATTATGCAAATGATCCCACAGTTTTAGAAACCCACGAGGTGCAAATTAAAATAAAACTTGTGTCACTGAATCAGCAAACAGCCAATCCACAGACACCTCCAGGAGACATGTCTCTGTCAAAGTCTGCGAGGAGAAGAGAGACGCTTTATTTTTACACTCACACTCAAAGAGAACGACTTTAAAATAGAGCGGCCATGTGTATGTCTGCAAACCTCTGATGAACTCGGACTAAACCAGGACTGAACCAGGACTGAACCAGGACTGAACCAGGATTAAACCAGGACTGAACCAGGACTGAACCAGGACTAAACCAGGACTGAACCAGGACTGAACCAGGACTGAACCAGAACTAAATGAAGACTAAACCAGGACTGAACCAGGATTAAACTAGGACTGAACCAGGACTGAACCAGGATTAAACCAGGACTAAACCAGGACTGAACCAGGATTAAACTAGGACTGAACCAGGACTGAACCAGGATTAAACCAGGACTAAACCAGGACTGAACCAGGATTAAACTAGGACTGAACCAGGACTGAACCAGGATTAAACCAGGACTAAACCATAACTAAATGAAGACTAAACCAGGACTAAACCAGGACTGAACCAGGACTGAACCAGGATTAAACCAGGACTAAACCAGGACTGAACCAGGATTAAACCAGGACTGAACCAGGACTAAATGAAGACTAAACCAGGACTAAACCAGGACTGAACCAGGACTAAATGAAGACTAAACCAGGACTGAACCAGGACTAAACCAGAACTGAACCAGGACTAATTTAAGACTAAACTAGGCACTGACTGAATCAGGACTAAACCAAGACTGGACCAGGACTAAATGAAGACTAAACCAGGACTGAACTGGGACTGAACCAGGACTACATGAAGACTAAACCGAGACTAAACCAGGACTGAACGAGGACTGAACCAGGACTAAACCAGGACTAAGCCAGGACTAAATAAAGACTAAACCAGGACTAAACCGCGACTAAACCAGGACTAAATGAAGACTGAACCAGGACTAAATGAAGACTAAACCAAGATGGAACCAGGTCCCAACCAGATCTAAACCAGGACTAAACCAAGACTAAACCAGGACTAAATGAAGACTAAACAAGGACTGAACCAGGACTAAACCAGGACTGAACCAGGACTGAACCAGGACCAAATGAAGACTAAACCAGGACTAAACCAGAACTGAACCAGGACTAATTTAAGACTAAACTAGGCACTGACTGAACCAGGAATAAACCAAGACTGGACCAAGACTAAATGAAGACTAAACCGGGACTAAACCAGGACTGAACCAGGACTGAACCAGGACTAAACCAGGACTAAGCCAGGACTAAATAAAGACTAAACCAGGACTAAACCGCGACTAAGCCAGGACTAAATGAAGACTGAACCAGGACTAAATGAAGACTAAACCAAGATGGAACCAGGTCCCAACCAGATCTAAACCAGGACTAAACCAAAACTGAACCAGGACTAAATGAAGACTAAACCAGGACTGAACCAAGACTAAATAAAGACTAAACAAGGACTGAACCAGGACCAAATGAAGACTAAACCAGGACTAAACCAGGACTAAACCAGAACTGAACCAGGACTAATTTAAGACTAAACTAGGCACTGACTGAACCAGGAATAAACCAAGACTGGACCAAGACTAAATGAAGACTAAACCGGGACTAAACCCGGACTGAACGAGGACTGAACCAGGACTAAACCAGGACTAAGCCAGGACTAAATAAAGACTAAACCAGGACTAAACCGCGACTAAGCCAGGACTAAATGAAGACTGAACCAGGACTAAATGAAGACTAAACCAAGATGGAACCAGGTCCCAACCAGATCTGAACCAGGACTAAACCAAGACTGAACCAGGACTAAATGAAGACTAAACCAGGACTGAACCAAGACTAAATAAAGACTAAACAAGGACTGAACCAGGACTGAACCAGGACCAAATGAAGACTAAACCAGGACTAAACCAGGCCTAAACCAGAACTGAACGAGGACTAATTTAAGACTAAACTAGGCACTGACTGAACCAGGAATAAACCAAGACTGGACCAGGACTAAATGAAGACTAAACCGGGACTAAACCCGGACTGAACGAGGACTGAACCAGGACTAAACCAGGACTAAGCCAGGACTAAATAAAGACTAAACCAGGACTAAATGAAGACTAAACCAAGATGGAACCAGGTCCCAACCAGATCTAAACCAGGACTAAACCAAGACTGAACCAGGACTAAATGAAGACTCAACCAGGACTAAACCAAAACAAAACCAGAACCGAACCAGAACTACATGAAAACAAAATTAGGTGTAAATAAACCGGGCCTAAACCAAGTCCCGCTCCATTGGCGTAATTGCAGTCTGCGGTGTACAAACCTAATGGAACAGCTCCTTCAATAACATACAGAAAGAGAAAATAACACGGTGGACATTTGTCATTAGGGCGACGCTCAGCACGCCTCCACTCTCACGCTCAAGTACATACCTCCACACTTCTATAGCTGCTGCGCCATAAACTTCATTTCTCCTCGTACGTCTCCAGTCTAAGGGGAAATCTCTGGCATACGCTCCTACAAATGACCACAAACTACCTCGGTTCCGTCGCCGCGTTCCTACGGTAATGAAGAACTGTCTGGAAAAACTGGACACGGCCCCCATTTGGTCCCATTAAAGGAAAACTGTCCCTTCTGTGCGCTCACTGTGCCTGACACCCGCGGGTGCAGAGTCCAGTGTCCGCGTGCCGATGTTTGCCATTATAAAGAGCCGAGATGAGACCAGGGACTAGACGAAGACTAAACCAGGACTAAATGAAGAATAAATGAAGAATAAATCAAGACTAAGCCAGGACTAAACCAGGACTAAACTTGGACTAAAGTTGGACTAAACTGGGCCAAAACCAGGACTAAACAAGGACAACACCAGGACAAAACCAGAACTAAATCAAGACTAGACCTGAATGACCTAGACCTAAATGAAGACTAAACCTGTACTAAACCTGGACTAAACCTGGACTAAACCTGGACTAAACCAAAACAAAGCCAAGACTAAACCAGGACTAGATGAAAGCTGAGCCAGGACTAAATCAGGACTAAAACAGGAATAAATCAAGACTAAACCAGGACTAAACCAGGACTAAACCTGGACTAAACCAAAACAAAGCCAAGACTAAATCAGGACTAGATGAAAGCTGAGCCAGGAC